CCCAGGGACCCACTCCTCCAGCCACACCCTACCTACCTTTGGTTAACAACCAGCTAATCCCCATCAGGGGATTGTGTTAAGGCTCTTAGAACCCAATTATTTCTCCTTTAAATCTTTTTGCATTATTTTATACATGAGCTTTTGGGGGACATCTCACATCCAAATTATAACAACTAATATAATATTAAGTTGTATATTTTCTTTGCAGTTTTTATATACATATACATGATCATTAAATTAATAAACTACTTTGTCTACTTGAATAGTCTTTGAAAAATATAGATAAATAAGAAATTTAAATTATACCAACCAGTGTAATGAAAGCATATATCTGTAGGGACATAAATAAAATTTATACTTTTTAAAAAGTAGCCATATGACAATAGTAAAATTGTACTATTGATACATACATTGAATTATGTGGAATAAAATGTGGGCCATCAATTTTTATAGAATTATTGTCCTAAATAATTCTTACTAGCTTATAGGTAAAAAAATCAATTTAGAAGAGTAATCTAGGAAAGAATGGCCAAGGTATAATTTTTTTTAATCAAAACTAATGGAATAGATTTGAAAGTTTTTCTCAAGAAAGCTTTCAAAGTTCAAATTAATTTCTATTATTCAGAAAGAAAGAAGGAAAGAAATGAGCTAAATATTCATATCAAGAAACCAAAAGTACTGTAATTAAATTATTCCAAAGGAAGCAAGTGGAAGGAATTAATAAGATAAAAGTACTTTGAATTGGCTAATACCCTGGTAAACTGTGCATTATTAATCAAGAACAAAAAAAGAGAGATAAAAGATAATATATTAAAGATGTATAGGAAGATTAACCAAGATCAAACATAGATAAATATTACATTAGAAATATATGCATTGGTTAAAGTGTTTTTGATTGGCAATGACAAGAAATCCAAACTGGAAACAGGTTTTTAGAAAGCATCTATTGGCACACATAACTGATAAATATTGGCACTGAATTGATCTCAGGCCTCTTAGGGTCATAGGATCAATGTCGTCAGTGCCTGCCGTTTTTCTTTCTCTTAGCTGTGCACCTCTCTGCTTCTGAGTATTTTATTCTTCGATGTGTTCCTTGTAGGGCCAAAGTGATTGGAAATACTCGGCCTTACATTTTCCCATCTTTAAATCCATTAAAATGTATTTGCCACTCTTCCTGCAGTCCAAGTCTCATGATTGTCCACTGTGTGTAATGAGTCAAATATACATTCTTCAAGCAATCATGGTCCCTGTGTAAAGATAACTTTCAATGGTTTTCTTTTAGGTATATGTGTCATTCCTGGAACTGGTTTGAAGCAGTCTTAAGTCCATTGACTGAGATTAAAGAATGAGTGATCTCCTCAGTGCAAAATCAGGATAGCCTTGGTAGTCAATGGTAGAAAATAAAATGAGTATAAAGTTGTAAAACCAAGATTGTACCATGTATTCATTCATTCAACAATATTGACTGAACAGTTACTATAAACCAGATTCTTAACAGTTTTCAGAGATAGAGAAAACAAATATCACAAGCCCTTGCCTTTGGAAAAATTGTTTCACATGGGATTTAAGGTTATTTTAATAATTAAAGAAAAATCTCAATTTAAAATTAAGAGAACACAAATTACCTAAACTTTCTCAGCAAGACTTTCTAAGAGGTTATGTAACTAATAATTACTTTACACTTCGACAGTATTACATTTCTCAAAAGGTGATTTACTCATCAATCTAAAAAATGATATATGTTCAAGCTTATTTATTACAGCTTTGTATACAATAAAAAAACTGAAAATATTCCTCATGGCCAACTAGAAAAGAATGAGTAAATTGATTATTTATATTATGGAATAATATGTCGCTACAAAAAATTTAGGAGGAAAAATATCTGAAATGTAAGGATTGAAACTTTCCAAAATATATTAAACAAGAAAGATGCCTTCCTAAGATCAAGTTTAGGTTATGCTACAATGAGGTTAACAATAATGCGTGTACTCATTTGTGTGAGTTTGTATGGGTTTGTGTGAGTGTATTTGTGTGAGTGCTTAAGTAACAGTGTGGGGTGCAAAATGAAAAGGCAACATTATTTACCTCTAGGTCAAGGATTTAGAGGGATTGAGATCATATGTGGAAGAATCTTCACTCTTTATTCTTTCTTTAACATAAATGTTCATGTGAGTGTAAAACTCTTCATG